CATCTCCTCTACCTCCTTCACCCTGGCTTCTTTTGGATCCTCCTCCAACCAAAAAACATGCTTCCCAACTGTAACCCACCCCCACCCTGACCCCTGCTCTGGAGGTTGCTGTGCTAAGGACAAGGACGCCCACTGCTTTTTGAGATCTGAGGCCTATTTGGTCTGCCTGGGGTCCCTCCAGCACCCGCCCCTGCCCAGTGGAGCCTCAGGGCCCTCCTGGCTCTGCTCTGCACTCCTGAGGTGCCCAGCACCCATCTCAAGGAATGGCACCCTCCCCCACTTCTCCCCTCAGATTTCCTTCTCCAGGTTCTGCAGGAGGATGCAACTTAAACTGGTCACCTGGTTCATGCAGACCATCTTAACTGAGCCCCCAAACACCGCTGGACCCACTTTTTGATGCGGGACTCCTCCATAACCCCTTTTCTCCTGGATACCTGAGACAGAAACAGAAATCCCAAAGGGGCAGTGGCAGCTTTGCAGAGGTCTGGTGGACAGGGACAGGCTCCAGGGCTGAGTCCGTTGGCAGGTAGCAGTTCAAAGAGCAGGAGGAGCTACAGCCAGCCGGGGGTCCCTTCTCCTTGTAGACTTCACATCTCCTCATTCAAAGACTCCTTGGCCTCCCCAGGCCTTCAGAATTGACCAATGTTCAGGTTTCCAGTCTGACCTGCTCCTCCATTAACCTCTCAGTGTTCTCTCACCTCTCGGGGCTCTGGAAATGGCACTGGGGTCCTGCAAACCCAAAGGGCCTGGAGTCAGGGCTTGTGCTCCTGGAGGGAGTGTGTGCGCCCTCCCAATGAAGGTAAATAACCTTGCCTCTGTGGTGCAATTAGTTAATGTGTTTGGCTATTAACTGAAAGCTTGGTGGTTCGAGCCCACCCAGGGATGCCACTTGTTTTTTTCGACCCCCACCTTCTTCACCTTTCTAAACTACAGGGCCTTCTCTTCAGCCATTCAACCACAACACCTCTGCCACCTTGCTCCTCACTTGCTGGACAACCACGCCTGCGCCCTCCACTGCTCAGAGGACTTGGGCCTCTGCAGCACCTGCCCATGCTGCACCCCACACTCCTCAAGCAGACATGCTGTACTATCAAGCAATTTTCCTACCCTCCTGAATCTTGGAAGACAAAGGAAAATGTCTCCTCTTTATTTATTTACTTATTTATGATGATGATGATGATGATGATGATGATGATGATTTTTTTTTTTTTTTTTGTGGAATCAGGAATTGAACTCAGACCTTTGAGATTGCCAGGCAAGCACTTATTCTACTGAGCCATCTCCCCAGCTCCCTGTTTCCCCTTTAAATGTGCTATGGACCCAAATAGGCATAGCCTACCATCAAGGTGTGTGCGTGTGTGTGTGTGTGTGTGTGTGTGTGCACGCGCACTCACCCCTGTGCTTGGATTTGGGGAGCGCTCCAGCAATCATCCTGTTAATAGCAAGATCAGCACCATTTTTCAAAAGTATCACCCTTTCCTGGGTTCTGTATTCCCTAGCCCTTCTCCAAATGCTGTTAAAACTAGCCTTGTCACACTGTTTTCTGATCACAAATGACACTACACTCATCGTTCCTGTACACATATTTCCAGGTCTCTGTGCAGACCTTTCCTCAGAGCAGACAATGGCTGAGTGAATGCCGCATGCACTGCTTGGCCCACACTGCTACGTGAGAGGAGCCGGCACCACCTCAGCACGGCACACTGTATTCTCCATTTCATCACTGGACCTTCCTCCATTAACTCCCTGAACAACCGGCTTGCTCTGCAGGTTCCTGTCTGCAAGCCTCTAGGAAGGGGAGCGCTGCCCACA